CGTCCCTATCCCAGAGCAGGTATGAGTAGACATCACAAGCCCATCATAAAGTCAGCTACTAAAGGCAAGAATGTTCCCAGGTCTCCAGGAGGCCTTGAGGCCATTACTAACCACCAAGACAACTGCCCTCCCCTTAGTCGCAGCTCAATGGCAGGAAAACCTGGCGGCCTAACTGAAGTCCTAATCTGAAGTCTGAACTGAAGACTGACTGACTTGGGACCTCAGTGAACTAAAGTCGTTCATCACTTCTCCACCCCTCCCCACAAGGCACAGGTCAAACTCAATCATGAGGAAAAAGAAACACTAGTCCCACACAAAAGGCCTCTGAGAAAAAGTGTCAAAGTTGGGAAAAATAAAAACCAAAGACACGTGGAAGAAATGTGGCAAGTGACTGGACCCTAAATTGTCATGAGCAAGACAGTGAGCAAACCTTGGACAGGCTGTTGACCACATTCTGCTTCCTGGTTTTGACCATCGTTGGGTGTCAGAATAGATGGGAACCTTCAGAGTAGGTAGGCAGAAGGTATACCAGAACCCTTCTGCAACATTTTCTGAAATAGTTCCAAAAATCAAAATCAAAATACAAAAGTAAAGTAAATAGAGAGCAGATAAATAGTTGCTGGTGTGTGGAAAGGCTGAACAAGAGTAGGGAGTGGCTGTGCCAGGGATGGCTCTCCTGGGAGATGGGGGGGGGGGGCAAAGCTACAGTGCCAGCCTGTGGGCCAGCACCAGAACAGATGAAGGAGACCACATGGCAGCCCTTCTTTGGTGGCACCCTGAGAGTGACCTTGTGGGATCTGCTGGGTGAGAGGAAAGGGGTGTCCGCAAGCCTCAAGGGCTAGGAGCAAAGTTAGGCTGGACTGCCGAGGACACTGGGAAACCTGGGATGTTAGGGACCATCATGTCCTTTTTTCTTGAAGACACTCAGGATCATGGTGGCTCTGAGTTACTGCTATCAGCCTCTATAAGAAGAAATTCTAACCCTCATGGGCAACAGGGGTGTGTGTGTGTATGTGTTTCTGTAAATGTCTGTAAACAAATGCATGCGTGCATATTCATCCACAGGCAGCTGTCTCCCTCAATGGCTCTCCACCTTATTCCCCTGAGAAACTGTCTCTCACGAACTTGGAGCTCACTGAATTTTTACTAGACTGGCTGGCCAGTGAACTCAAGCCAACTTCCTGTCTCCACCACCCTTCCCCCCCCCCAGCACTGGGTTTTACAGACCCACTTAGTCACATCTGGCTTTTCACAAAGGTGCTGGGGATGCAAACTCAAATTTGTAAGTGCACTTAGCTCACTAAGCCCTCTCTTTAGTCTCCTACTCTTTTGCTTTTCTGAGGATTAGGCAGCCAGAGCAGAGAGGGTCCCTAGCCTCCTACACACACACACATCTACACACACATACACACACACGCCCATTATCATCATTTCTCATCCAACCCTCCTAGGCCTGCTTCCTGGAAAGAATTCCGGTCTCAGGGCTGGGCAGGCAGGGTCTCCAGGCCTCCACTGTATATCTGCAGAGTGCTGATAACCCCGTGGTCCTCAGGATGACTCTGGTGAGAAGCAGGCAAGCACAGTGGATTCCATCCATGGGAACTATATGGATGAGGTCCATTCATAGTAACAGTGAGATTGGTGGCTGCAGGCTCTGAGTGACAGATGTTGAGTGCAGGCTTCCTTAAATGGTGACTGGATATTTGGGAACTAGACAGAGATTGTAGCTGCCTGGTATTGTGATTATTTTAAATGCCACTAAATTGTGCACTTTAAAATGCCTAAAGGGATACATTTTGGGTGGAATGGTTGGGTTTTGTTTGTTGAGACAGGGTCTACATTGTCCAGACTGGCCTTAACCTTGTGATGATAACTGTATGTGTCACTGTACCCAGCCCTGATTATTGTATTAGATATTTTTTATTGCGTTTTAAAGGTTGTCTAAGTGAGTTGAATTCCTTAGCACCCATGTTTAAAAAAAAAAAGAGTCCCTACCAACTTGGTGAATTCCAAGTTACAAAGAGACTTGCTTCAAAAATAAAAGAAAAAGATGAACACTACCTAAAGAATTACAGTTGGGGAGTCCTCTGTCTTCCACATGTACATCCATACATGTTCACACACACACACACACACACACACACACACACACACACACACACATACACGTAAGAGATGGCTTGCGAATACAAATCTACCTACCCAGCACTGAGGAGGCTGAATAAGGACGATTGGGAGCTCCAGGTCAGCCTAGGCTCCTGGCATGTGTAAGTCGGTATTGCATTCGGTCCTTGGCACCATACACAAAGAAGTTTCTTTAGGAGACACATGCTGGTGGTGACAACAGCCAGATCCCTCTTTCATTCTGAGACTGTTTCCTCAACTGTAGGATGGGGATGGGATGGCCCTGAGCTCCAGATGACCATGAAGACTGCAACTGGCAATTCCCAGCAAAGGCCAGGCAGAAGGTGTGTCTGCCAGAGCTGTGGAGTGCCACAGCATGACACAGATCTAGCCTCAAAGCAAGGGGACTCCCGGGGAGTGAGCTCGGCAGCTGTCGGAACCCTAGTGCATCTCTAGAGCTCCACAGACCGGGGCTCAGCAAGCATCCACGCTCCCCAAGGCCACAAACATGCCCCATATGGTGTCTGTGCAAGTGGCCTGTCCCTGGTGTTCTAACTCCTGCTAATACATCGGGCCATGGCAGATCATATTTTCAGCTCCGGGAGCCTGGTCTGAGCAGTTGGGTACTCTAAATTTAATTCTGCAGGTAATTTGAACGATGCTATCTAATTTCAAATGTCCCTGCTCTTATGAGTGCAAAAGCAGCATAATTTTTAATTAGTGGGTAAACAGTAAATACTGAACGGCAGTAAAGTGGACACCACTGTTAATTAAAAATCCATGGTTGATAAAAATCAATTTGGTCCTTGCATTCAGGTCCCTGCAAAGAGTGGTATGACCCAGCCGTGGCCCCATCCACTGGCAGTAGTTCATCTAGTTAAGACTTTCCTGCGGGGAGAGAAAGAAAGCGGGGTGAAGAAAGAAAAGAAAATCGAGGTCTGTCCCAAAGCTGTGAGGGGCAACATCGTGAGACTATTTCTAACTATTAAATTGGATTGGTTGTGTTGATTTTTATTTTTATTTATTTATTTATTTTACAGCCTTTACATTGAGGCTACGAGCAAGTGGCATGGCTGGGCTCTGGGGCTTTCTTCAAGAAGGTCTCCATTGTGCTGGGCTCTTTGTGTGTGTGTGTGTGTTTATGTTCTGAAGACAAAGAGGTCTGACTATATCTCAGATTCTCCTAATGTAATTAAATCCTAATTTCTCTCAGAAAAACAACATAAGCAAACACACACTTAGGGGAAAAACCATCTGAGGCTTGGTGACAGAGCATGACATCTCTTCTTGGTGCCTTCAGGGGAGGGGTGCCTGAAACAAAAATGATGGCTTCCTTCTCAACATCTCTTCAAGAACCAGAGATTCATAGAGACAACAACACTCTCATCTCCAGAGCCCACGCACTGTTTCACTGTGAAATAAGGCAAATAAGGCTGACCCCTCCTGATTCTCCTTTGCTTCCATCTGTTCACCAAATCAACACTTTGCGACAGGTTTCATTGACACCGGTGATGTTCAAATTAACCTGCAGAATTGAATCCGAAGAATCCAGCAGCTTCTGACCACAACGGAGACGCAGAAGCACCAGAATGTGCTCTCACTGACAGCTTCAGCAAGTCTGTCTTAGTTCAGGATTCATGGGCTCGGTGTGGACCCCACGGACCACAGTGATCTGACTCATGTCCTATCGACACTGTGGCGGGTTAACTCTGAAAAGCCCATCTTCTATCTTGCAAAGCTTTCGTCAGCCTTGCTTCCCCAAGCGACAGTGGGCCATATTAAGGCACCTTGCCCTGGTTAGCTATTCGGTTTTGTTTCTCCTACTTGGCTGACCTTGATCTACGGGTCTGTTGACCAGTGGGACCAAGGACCACACTCAGACCTTTATTCAGTCTTTGCTCTTCAGAACGCAGTATCCTATACTCTGTGTCTCTAAATCAGCTCCTGTTGTTCTCACTGGTGACCCAAATGAGCACCAGTCAACCTGTCAGACTTGAATGTGACATCATGGGCTCTGTCTGGCCTTGGCCTTTCTTGGCACGTGCCGCAAAGCCACACCCAACTCCTAGAGTGGCCGCAAAGATGGCAGAATATACTAGAAAACCCCCTGGATCCTTCCATGACTGACCACACCATCACCAGCTACATCACTCAGCCTTCTCAGGGTCACAGGGTCCCCAGGGACTCTGGATCCCAGGAACATTAAGTTTTCCTGAGAGATTGCTGGGCACAGAGAGATTGAGGTCCAAGAGCATACCAGGTAGAGCTCTGAGGGGTAAAATGGGGTTCCCCTGGCCTCCCCTCAAGCCCAGCTGGGAACCTGTGAGCATGCAGTGGGGAAGGGATGGGAGTATGCCGTGGGAGAGTTTCTCTACTCCATCCACAGCCTTCCCTGGAGGCCCTGGCTGGCCAAGGCTCTCTGAGCCCCTCCTGACCTACTTCAGCCCCAGGCTCGGTGGGAAGGGCTGGGTTGGCAAGCCTGACTCGGTGGCTAGCAGCTGGGGTCAGGGGTCACGATGAGGACAGTCACTGCTGTAAGACTTGGACACTGCTCCATGCTAGCATCCTGCCATCTGGGCTGTGTCAGCTGGCCTTCTGAGTGGGGATGACAGCTCCTTAGCAGCTGAAGTTTTGCTACTCAATTCTGAGCGGCAGTTAGGCACTGTGGGATGCTGTCCCACACCCTTGCCAGCCCATCCTGGGCTCACCAGAAGGACCCCTGCTGCTTAGCTCATCATCAGACACCTCATTTGCTGTGGTGCTGGCCAGGACTTAGGGAAGAGGGCCAGGTGGGGTGTAGTCTCTGTGGCTGGTCTCCTGCCCGCTTTCTAGGCACCGATCATGAGCTCAGTGAGCACTGGCTGAGTGCTAGCCACATGCTAGACTCTGGTCTAGAGAAGGGGTCAGTGGCAAGCCTGCTGTATGTCATCAACAAGCATCTGGGTGCTCTGGGGCCTGAGGTGAGCTGTGCAGCCTGCCTGACCCCCTGGCGTGGGGAGAGCAGGTAGGCCAGGCAGTACACATGGAGCCTGTGAATCTCTGACTGGGTTCTTCATCCTTTGCAGCGGGCACTCCAGGAGGTTGCCATCTACACTGGGAGCCCCAGTGCCAGCAGCCAGGGCCTAATGGTATGCCCATGACTACAGTCCTGCCCCCACACTTCAGTGGGCCCTGGATCTCCACCGGGTAAGACTCCCTTAAGCACCCAACCATACCCCACTGGGCTGGGTGGAAGATGTCTCCCTCTGAACCTCAGCGTTGACCTTCATGAGGTCGGGACAGCATTTCCAGGTCCCCAGGGGCTGCCTGCTAGCCTCAGTACTTGCTTTCTCCCCTCTGGAGGTGGCATCTGGAACAGGGAACCATCGGGCATCACGTCCAACCAACAAGGTAAAGCTGAACAATACACATGTCTGTTACACAGACACTCAGGCCTCCCTGATGTGAGCTGGTACACAGCATGTGCAGTAGGATTAGGTGCTAAATAGGCAAACAGGGAAGTGTGTAACGTAGACTTAGCATGGCATTGAGCTGCGCTGCAAAGCAAAACCCACGCTGTGGCAACACGTGTCCTGGAAGGTTCCTGGAGATGGAGACATCTGGTTGAGAGAAGTCCCCACTCTGAGATCCATGGGAAGGGGTAGGCAGGGAGGGCAACTGATAGAAAAAAGCAAGGTAGGAAGTAACTGGCCAGAGAGAGCCTGAGGTTCCCACTGCGTCTGAACTTGCAGAGGCAGCTCTGCAACCCTCATCTGTGGTAGCCATCAGGCCACCCTTCCTCCCAGTGTGGGAGTTGAGGGGGTGTTATGGCTTCCCTCACTTATCCCCTCAGGTCTCCTCCTCAGCCCATTCCATTCTGGGGTCAAGGACTGAACTTCCCTTGTCCTCCACGTGCCTCCTGAGCTCATGAAGAAATTCGCCTGCCAAACATCTGTTAGCGCTTTGGGTGCCGGGAGGGGGCAGGGTGCAAGCTCTCAGAATTGCTCCCTCGCACTTTTCCCAGGCTCTGGAGCTGCTGCCCTTCCTCAATCAGCCCAGCTGGGACCTAGGCAGCTCCTAGCAGGGTCACTGAGTGCACAGAGAGGGATGCTGAGCTGTGCCGTTCCTGCCTCCAACAACAACACTCTGGAGCAGTCCTCAGAAACTTCTAGAACTCTCTTCCTAGAAAGTCCCTGCTGTACTCTCCTAGCAGGCCTTGCTGCTTGCTGAGAGGCTCGTAGAATGGGGTCAGTGGTCTGGGACTGTGCTACAACCCTCTGCAGGCCATGGGAAAGTCATTTTGTACTGTAGACCTTATCTGAGGTCCTCAAGTGTGCAGGGTGACTCCACTGCAGCCATCGTCTGGTCTATTAGCCACTTACTATTTTTCTTCAGATCAACTTACTTTTATTTACTTAAACATGCTCATGCATTTTTACAGCCTTATTGGGGTATAATTGGCATACAGTAAACAGCACCCATTTATAGTGTAATATAATTATTTTTAAAGAACGCCTAACATAGCTCCGGATGCAGAGAACAGTCACCCTCCATAAATAAGAAGAAACTGTGAGGAGACTCAGTGAAACAAAGCCACATAATTGGGTTCTCTCTAGATTCACAGCCCGTCTCAGGCTCAGCGTCTGCTCTCTCTGGGAGAAAAGGGGGAGCCTAGACTCATTAGCTCTCGGCTGAGGCTTTCTCCTTCATCTTAGCAGAAAGCCTGAAGGAAAAATGGGAGCCGTTTTCTGCTTGGATGATAACAGCCTAAGTATGAAATACATATTAAGATGGCAATCCAGGTGGGCACCGAGAAATGACAGGGCGTCCCCACACCCATTAGAGTGATCCCTTGGCGGGGATGTTCTATCTGTGGCTGTGACTGTGAAGCCAGTGGTGACTTTACACCTTTTCCTTCTGAATAACCCCCGGACCTGTTTACATTAGAGCCTGGAGACCAAGTCAGCTGACCACCTCTCTCTCTCTCTCTCTCTCTCTCTCTCTCTCTCTCTCTCTCTCGTGTGTGTGTGTGTGTGTGTGTGTGTGTGTGTGTGTGTGTGTGTGTGTTACAGAGGTAGATGTAGCTGTCTTCCTCAATTATTCTCCACCTTAGCTTTTTGGGGGTAGAGTCTCTCACAGAGACCTGGGACTCTCCATCAATCCATAAAGATACTCCTGTCTCCATCCCTCAGAGGTTGGATTACAGGCACACACCACTGTCGCTTTCTATTGTGTGGCTGGTGGAGATCAGACTCGGGGCGGGGGCAAACACTTCACCCCCTGAGCTATCTTCCTGGTCTTGTTCAGGTGCAACCATTTTCACCGATAGCAATGCCAAGTGGCTGCAACAGAACTCCCATCAGCCTTCAAGCCTCAAAGCACAGATTGTCCAACCCCTTCCTGGAACCTAGGGAAAGGAGGCAGCTCATTGATGGGAAGACACTTGAGAGACACCTGTCTGCTCTCCTTCTCCTACCTGCTTCACTCGGTAGGATGTCCAGGACAGAAAAGAGAGCCCTAGAATTCAGTGGGAAAGAGGCCAAGGATCCTTGGAAGCTAAGAGTACAATGAGTAGTAGATGGTGGCAAAAGCCCCAGTTAGGACCATGAGAAGGAGAACTGGAGAGCTTCTATGACAATCACAAGATTGAGAGGGTCCCCAGACGGGGAAACTGAGGCCATGGGGCCCAGGCCTGAGTGAAAGGTGCTGGGGATGTGGTAGCCCTGCCCAGGAGGGGGACACCCAGGCAGATTTCCATTTCTCTGCCCAACACCCATCTCCTCCCCAGCAGCTTCGAGGTACGGCCAGGGCCAGAATTCCTCACCCGCTCCTACACCTTCTACTCCAACTGCCTCTTCTGAGCCTACCAGTTCTACTACAGGGACCCCTCCTGCCAAGAGCCTGCCCACTCGCTGCTCATCAAGGGCAAAGTTCGTCTGCGCCAGGCCTCCTGGGTCATCCCGGGTGCCACCGAGGCTGACTACCATCTGCACAAGGTGGGCATAGTCTTCCACAGCCACCATGCCCTGTTTGACATTGCCAGGCGCCTCAACCAGACCCAGGCTGGCCAGGACTGTATAGGACGGCTGCCTCCGGACCAGGCCTGGCTGCCAGGGATGCTGTATGAGCTGCTGAGCTCCCGGGTCCCAGGTGACTGCATGGTGGCACTGGGCTTTAGCATGCACGAGCTCAGTCTGCTGCGCCTACAGGGTCACATGCAAGAGCAGCCTGGGGTGGCACCCCATTTAGTGGAAGAGTTGTTCCTTGGGGATGTCCACACCAACTGGACAGAGAGGCAACACTACCATCCCACTGGCTACCAGTGCCCCCTGCAAAGTGTTCTGATGAGTATGGAGCCCTCTGGGGATGCTCTTGGTACCCAGCCCAGCAGGTTCTATAGGATGTGGTCCTGCTAAGGGTCTCTGCCCTACTCTTCTCACTGCCCTTACCTCTGGTCAGCTAACCTCAGGACATTAGCACATTCTCTTACCTCTGCTTGAGCCTTGTCTTCTCAGCTTTTGCAAGGCGAGATGGTATTTTGTAGAGAATGACCTTGCTCGCCCTCCCCAGCCTAGTCACTCTCGGCATGCATCTTCTGGGTTTGGTCTTCATGACTCATGCAAGACCCCACGGGTGTCCTAGCAGGACGATGACTCAGGCAGGTTTCTCCCTTTTTGGTTCTGTTTACCTGGTCCCTCTATCCCCTGCTCTACACATCTCCCAACACCCAGCATGTGCTGCTCCCAGGAAGCCTACCTGCCACCTCCACACGGACACCAAGCACTTCACCAGGGGAGGTCTGTGACACAACCCAACATGGGGTCTGGGGTCCAACATCTGGCTAAAGGCCACACAGTGTTGGCACATGCACTAGGAACACTGTGCTGGGCCTGTAGTACCTTCTTAGTGACATCCTCCAGGGGTTCGGGGGGGCCCACCTGTGACCAGGGGGAAAGCACTGATGGGTGTGCACATGAGTTGCTGTTTTAGGGTGTTGCATCCAACTCCACAAACATTATGGAATTAGTACAATGGACAGAAGTGGAGTTGGGACACAGGTACTAACTCTCACTACTTAAGCTTAGTGGAAACAAAGGTGGGGGGTCGGGGTTCTGGATTAGGACCCGGGTCTCTCTGAATATGTGGGTCCAGGGTGAGGCCTGTGGTCCTCATTTCTCCTCCTTCGTTTGTTTGTTTGTTTTTGTCTCGTTGTTGTTTTTTGAGACAGGGTTTCTCTGTGTAGCTCTGGCTGTCCTAGAACTCACTCTGTAGACCAGGCTGGCCTCAAAATCAGAAATCTTCCTGCCTCTGCCTCCCAGGTGCTGAGACTAAAGGTGTGTGCCACCATATCCAGCTTTTTATTTATTTTTTAATGTACTCTTCATTTCTAACCCATGAGCTGGTGGTCTATGAGCTGATCTCCAGGGTAAGGAGGTTCTGCAACCTCAACTATGAAAAAGTCACCATACTGTCCCTACACTGCGAAAGGATGGAACTGTCACTCTAAAAGAGTAAGGCTGGTGGAGCTGTCAGTGCCAAGAGCCTCTCTGGTAGCGGTAATGCCTGAGCATCCTCCTCAAAAAAAAAAAAAAAAAAAAAGCTGTTGAGGAAAATCTTCTGTCTTTAAATGACAGCCAGTCCCACTAAAATAGCCTTAAGATGTGAAGCTGTGACATGGGATGGCTGAGAACAAGACTCCTTCCTCACCCTCAAGTCCAAGGAGTAATAAGTGCAAACAATGTCTGGGGCAATGACAGAGGACCAGCGTGGCACACAGGGACATCTGGTGACTCTGGGACTTGCTGCTTATTATGAATGGAGATGAAAGACTCTTAGGAGCTCCCAACCAGTGTACCCCATATTTATCTCCTGATAATCAAATTAAGCATGATAGCACACATCTACAATCCTAGCATTTTGGAGGCGGAGGCAGAGAGCTTTCTGTGAGTTGGAGGCCAGTGTCAAAAATCAACAAAACAACCAATTAAAAAAAAAAAAAAGCAAATGGAGAGAGGGGGTAATGAGTTCATCCATCTTTATCAAGTGCTATTTGAACCTTGGGCCATCCACCCATCGTGCAGCAAATACTGAGTACCTACTGTGTACTGTGCAAAGCCAACCGGGGCAATTTCTGGTCTCCCATAGCTACTGCTTGTCAGAATCCCAGTGGGTGGGCCCTAGTGATGACAGACAGACCAAGCCCATCTGCCTTCACTTTTCAACTGCTCCCAAAACCCAGGATCTGGGAGGCAGAGAAGGAACACACCTAGGTTCTCCTGAGTAGAAAGGTAGCCTCTAGCTTCTTCAGAATGAATCCCTTTCGTCAACTGTATATGTTTCTCAGGCCTTAACTTTCCTTGTTCCAAGAAACACCACGAGGGCTGACTAGCATTCCCATCTCCTGGGCAGAGCTCAGGGGCCACTACCTCTTCCCTTCCTGCTGCCTGGCCGGCCCTGGTGGCCTACACAGGCTGGGAAAGTGATTGAGAAACAAGACACATAAAAACATGTCATCGCAGACCAGTGCCAGATGCAAAGACATTAAATGAAAGGTCTGCTTGGCAACCCCCCACCTGAGGAGGGGGAGGAAGATCATTTGAGAGAAGGAACTGCTGCGGTCAAATCCCCAAGTATTGCCTTGCTCGTTACCTTCTGCTCTCGGGGGGGGGGGGGGGGGTGGCTGAGCCTTGCCCACGAACCAAACCAGATGGTAAACACGAACATTTTTAAAAGTTAATTTAAAACCAATTTGATCCCCAAATTTATCGCCCAGATATAGAATACTAATCCATGCTCCACCACAGTCTTCCAGACGGCATCACCGCTGGGGTTAATTAGAAATTGGTATGTGCCACAGGAGAAATGGCTTGGTGGAATGGGTGTAAAGTTGGCAGGTGTGAGGCCGGGGGCTTTGTCTGTTAACACGTAGGCCTCTTGTCTCTGTTGAAGATACCCTGGAGATGGTTGATGGGGGCAGGAGCTTTGTGGCATCTTCTTTCCCCAGCCCTGAGCAGGAAATGCCTTGTCTGTCCCCTCACCCACCTGCTATGTCCCAAACCACTTGCCCCCAAACGACTGGTCAGCTCCTGCAATGTTCCTCTGCAGAGGGATCATGTACACGGGAGGCCACAAGTGTGTCTCTGTGCACGTGGCAGGAAAGAGCCACTCTGTGACTATTTCAATGCTGTGCATTTGGTCCTGTCAATACACATTAGTGTGAACACAGTTCAGAATGTGGGTTAAAAGGCCTAAATTAGAGGGAACTCTTATCAGCCGGCCTCCCAATTACCATCACTCCGGCTAACTGCCATTGCTTCCTCCATCACAAACAAGTCTGTCGCCATTTACCAGTGCTTCAAAGTGCCTTCAAGTCCTCCAGGTCAGAATCCCCCAAACAGCAGCTAGGCAGAATAGTGCTCACTGTTATCTGCACCCCTTGGAAGCTGGGGCAGAAAGGATTGCCTGGAGTTTGAACTCAGCCTCAGCTATATAGCAAGAATAATATCCAGAAATAAAACATGATATAGGGTCATGTGTTGTAGAAATAGAAGTTCAGCTTCCTCACAGGAATAAATATTAATAGTAAGAGCTTTGAAAATGTGGCAATCCAAACAAAAGAAAAATTGCCCTTTCCCTTGCCTTTCCTGCTTGGGCCTCAGTCCTGTTCCCTCAGGAACAGCGGGAACAGGGTTGTCTGCCGACTCTCAGGTCAGCCCCAAGCAGTGCCTACTCTAAGGCCATCACATTTGCAGAGAAGGCTTTGCATTGACTTATGGGCAGCATCTCCCTTTAAGGAAAAAAAGAAGAAGAATCGGGGAAGGAGAAGTGGAGAAGGAAAGGGGCGGGGGAGATGGGAGTCTCTGGTTCCTTTTTGGCTTCAGTAAACTTTTTTCACTCCAAAACGTAGACGGACTACTTCCACCCAGTTAGACTTAATGTCTGTTTCCTGTGGATGGGTGGTGCCTCAGCTAAACCGAGCCTGGGATGACTTCTAGCAAGCCAAAGCCAAAAGAGACCAGTGCACACCCTGGGGCAACAGAGGGAACCTGCAAACCCCAGTGCAATTGGTTTTGTCTGTTGCAGAAATGCTGGAGGCTGGGCATTGTGGTCCATGCTCAGAATGGCAGCACTTCAGGGAAGTGGAGGATCCCAAGCATGAGGCCATGAGCCACAAAGCTAGCTCATGGTTCACTTGGGCTACATAGAAGAACTTTACCTCAAAGGAGGCCAGGGCAGGAGAGGACTAGGGAGGAGGCTCACTGTGCCATGAGATTGCAGACTGGAATCTGGATCTCCAGATCTCGCTTCAATGCTGGGCAGGTATGGTAGCCTGCCTGTGGTTTCAGCATTCAGAAAGCAAAGGCAAGGAAGTCCAGGGCCAGCGGGCCAGGGATCCAAGTCTGGGGTCAACTGAGAGACTGTGCCTCAGAATAAAGTGAAGAGTGATGAACGGAAGATTCCCTTTGTCCACCTCAAGCCTCGACATGTGCTGCACACACAGGAACACACACACACATACACACCCCCGACAATACACACACACACATACAAACTGTACATACAAAACAAAAATAACATGGCAGCCTTGGTCATGCCCCTTGCAGAGAATGTGCAAAATGAAGTGAGGCTTTGGGTCAGGTCCTGCAGGGCTGTGTTCAACTATGGACAACTGTGGCAGGCCACCTGACCTCTGAGTTAAGCTGTCCTCTGTCAGTTTCAGGAGGGACTCATCATTCATAGCCCCTCAGCATGCAAGGAAGCTGCAAATGTGAAGGGGTAATGCTGGTGAGCCAGGAAGGCAAACTGGGCAGGACTTCTAAATCTGGGGGTCTAACCCACTTAGACTTCAGCCAGTTTCTCATCATTCAACCCATGTGTATTTACGGGCAGCCTGGGGGTTGTGGGAGGTCAGGACCTCGGCCTATAAACCTCTTCCTGTCTAGTGCAGAAGGGAAGGAGGGAAGGGTACCTATGAAGGGGTGATGGGACAGGTCTCCAGGATGCTTTAAAAAATATCAGGCCTTTGTTGGGCTGAGGCTCAAGGAGGAGGGTGCCTTTGCCTTCGAAAGCCAAGGACATCAAGAAGGCCAATGTGTTGGAGACTAGGAGGGGGTCTCACCTGACCAGTCATGGTATTCTGCACTGGGAGACCATTCCAGTCGAAGGCTGGCTCCTCCTGCAGCCTGACCACTCTGTTTTGACTTTGGCAGCACCACGCTCGGCCCTGCCTGGCCTGCAGTCTCATTGTCTATTCTGATGAGCACCACCCCCCTGTGCTGCCTGCCCAGACAGCCCTGCCACTGTGCCTTGGTGGCCGCTGGGTCAGCATGGGCTGTGAGGCGAGACCTGCCATGCTGTTCTTCACGCGGCTCTTCACCTTCGATGAGCACAAACGCACCTGGGAAGGGCGCTACCATCATTTCTCTGACCCTGCCTGCCGCCAGCCCACCTTCACCGTGTTTGCGGCCGGCCACTACTCCAGAGGCACCCCATCTCCCAGGGTCCACAGCAGCACTGAGCTGATGTTCAAGGTTACACAGGCCCACGTGACCCCCATGGACCAGGTTACTGCAGTCATACTCAACTTCTCCAAGCCAAGCAGCTGTGGAGGCCCAGGGATCTGGTCAGTAAGCACTGAGAGGGATGTCACAGCCACTAACGGGTGCCTACCCTTGGGCACCAGGCTCCCACATGTAGAGTATGAGCTGTTCAAAATGGAACAAGACCCTCACGGGCAGAGCCTGCTCTTCACCCGACAGAGGCCCACAGATGGGTCTAGTCCCAACACGCCTGAGAAACGCCCTACCTCCTTCCAGGCACCCCTTGTACTCTGCAAGAGGCAGGCCCAAGGGACCCCCAGGCCCTCAGGCGCAGGCCTCCAATGCAGAAACTCTCCATTGGGCAGGCACCTTATCTTCCTGTCATCCCATTCCCCTTACTACTCCTGGCTCAAGGACTGGTCCTCCTTGAATGGCTATGACATCAGTGTTTGACTTCTGGGTGGCCCCTTGGACACTGTGTGGCCCTGCAGATGCCCACCTGGCTCTGCGCTGTCAGAGCACTACGGGGGGAGGACAGCCCTTCCCTGCTGCCGTGTCTTGAATGAACATACGGCCCTGCCACCTCTGGTTCCTACACAGCTCAACAGCACTGCAAAGCCAGGGGCACAGACCCCAGGCTTGAATGTGGCTGCCAATTCTGTCATGTTTCTAAAACCCTACTGCCAGTTTTAATCATGTGGCTGCTGTTAGTCTACTTGCTCTTCCTTGCCTGGGGTACTGAGACAGAGAAGGCATCTTGTGATGGCGCCCAAGGACGCTTCCTGCGCTTAGCCAGGGTCTAGGTTGTGGTGTGGAGATCATTAATTTGAATTTAGCAATACAAACTCAGCCAGGGCATGAATTAAAGATGCCACTTGGGGCTTTCAGTACCTCTCAGCTCTCTGGCAGAGGGCTTGTCTCTCTGGGGCCAGTCAGCTTCCTTGACTTCTGCCTGTTGGCATCTTTGGGCATCTGCCTGTTCTGCTGTAAGTCAGACCTCAAGCTGGCAACACAGCACACAGATAAGTCCAGTCCTCTAGGGCCACAGAGCACAGAAAGAAGGCTCGGTCTGAGCGGAGACCTTGGCCTTTCCCCTCAGGCTGTAGCCTCTAAGTCTCTCACGCCCACGTGTAGAGCCCACAAGCTTAGGGCTAGCCAAGCGGGGCACAGTCCACAGAGGAAAGTGCATTGCTGCCTTTGGAAACGAATTAATACTAATGACAGCTGCAGCACAATGCGCTCGCAATTAGCCCCGCATCTTCTTCCAGAATCCGCTGCTGTCAACAGAAGGGGAGGAACACAGCAAGCATCTTTGGGACTGCCCCAGGGGGAGGCCAGGACCACCAGGATGCATAGCAACATCTGGAGGCAGGACCCAGGAAGCCTGGCCTCCCCAAGTCCCCACACTGCGACGCTAATATGTCGAGTTCTCATCTGCTCAGGGGGGCTGTCATCACGGTGGGGACCCTGCTCATAGGCCTCGGGCCTCAACTGCACACTGTGAGATTAACTGGTGTCCTGGTGGGCTCAAGGGTTTTCAGGACTGTAAGCCACTTGTTCCCACCTCCTTCTTCCTCCTCCCATCCATGTCTCTTATCACAGATCTTGAACAATCCTATATGAGGCTAATGATGCATGCAGAGGAAAGCCCTTGGCCTCCCTGAGACTGTGTGGGGTTCAATCAGTCCAAGGAGATTGCTCTAACTTATTATCCATTCTTCTCAAAAAAAAAAAAAAAAAAGCATCAAGTTAATATTCTCTGTGGGTCTCAGACAGCTACGAGTGTTCCTGGCATATTTACCAAAGTACAAGAAATAATTAGATTATTTACAGGCTTGGACTGCATGGCAGTGGGGAGGGAGGTTAACACCGTGGGGATGACAGTAGGTGTTGAGAACACAGCCATGGCTGAGCAAGCCTATATCTGAGGCTTGAAGCAACCATGCCAACGTTCATCATCAAATTTAAATCTTTTAATAAAGTTAAACAGCCTGAAAAATGTTCTCACTGGTTATTAAAGTCAACCAACGGGATTATAGTTCCAAAGAAAAGACACATGTGAGGAGAATAAAGCAAAGCGGTAAACCCCAGCCGGCTGCACCCTCCCAGTGCCCTGCTCCCTCATCCCTCCATGGTACCCACTGTGCTCAGAGTACCTCAGCTCTGTCTTACTGTTGTCTGCAGGGTTCAGCCACAGCTCCCCACACCCTGGATGTCTCTGCCTTTCTGCTTCTTGATCACACTGAGGGGTCTGGGGACCCTTGCCACATGTCCTCCCCCAGGCCAGCAGACACTTGGCTCTTTCCTTTTTATTCAGGTCTCAGACTGAACATCATCTCCTCAAGAAGGCCTCCCCCACAACAATTATCCTACTCTCTCTCTCTCTCTCTTTCATCCACCATTTTTGCATGTTGATCAATGTTTGAAAGGCTTTCATTTTATTCATGTTCATCACCTGGCCCCTCTAGAGACTATAAACTCTCCAGGAAAAGACAGGGCCCATCTCAGTATCTTCCCATGGGGGTCAGAAGGACCTGGTGGGAAACTGGTGAGAGCCACAGGCCACTTGTGGCCTCCCCAGCTGGGGAAGACTGAACCAGTTTCTCTCGGGCTTCCACATAGAGACATGGGGGCTCCGAGAGGGGGCTGTCATGAGGTTACACAGTAAGCAAAGGCTTAGATCAGCTGGATCCACAGGCCAGGGATGAGGGTTTTCTGGGGGGAGATTCGGGGGAGGCTCCTTTGTGTAACAGGGAAGGTCATTTGAAACTGCTCAGCGAGTCGTGAGTCACCTGGTTAGGTATGTTGAGTCAGAGAGTGCTTCTGGGCTGCATTAGCTGGGCTGAGCTATGCCCCTTTGGAGGCAGAAGATGGAAGAAAGAGCTAACAGTCTCTTTCAGTGAGGAGAAGAGGGGTGGCAGAGGGCAGGGCCTCAGAACCCCAGGCCCTACCACCCTAGCAGAGAGACCCAAGAGAGCTCTCCTTGGCAGAGGGGAAGAGCCTAGTCGTGGCTGTGAGCAAAACAAAACAAAATTAATGTTCTCCATTGTATGTGCAGTCACGTTGAAAGGGGGGCAAAGCCCATGCGGTTGATAATTTCACAGTGCAAGTCCCAGGAGAGCAAAAGAGCTTTTTTCTTTTTAATAAAAAGTTTAGATTGTACACAGCTCTCAGAGGCCCATTAGCTACCAGACTCTTGCCTAGCAGAAGACGTTGTTTCTTTGCTTTTCTCTAAGCGAATGTGTTTAATCTCCCAGCGGTACCACCGTGCTGAGAAGCTGGTGACGCGCGCAGGCTCTCGGTGTGTCCTCTCCTGGGAGCCAGGGTGACTCAGGCTCTGGCTGGAGGCTCTGACGCAGGTGGAATTGCATTGGGGCCCTGTCAGGGGCCGATGCACGGCCATTAGTGTCAATGATGAGGGCTGGGGTGGGGTGGGGTGTTCTACTTACAGAGGTGGGCTTTGGGCAGCAGCTGCCCACCTCCCATCTGCTCACACCCCGTCACCAGGAGACCCACTTCCACAGAGGACAGAAATCATCTGTCCACACAGGAGAACTCTCCTCCTGTCCTGGCAGCCCTCTCATCTCTTCCAGCCACTCTGTGGTTACCCCTGCTTTCCCCACAGTCAATACACAGCCCACTCCTCCTGTTTCCTCCAGCCCCTGCCCAGCCGGCCCCCACATCTTCATCACACATTTATCAGCAACATCCTGTTTATTCACATCCTCTTTACACTCAGCTTCAGAGCAGCAGGCCTCCTGTCAGGGTCCCTGCTGGGCCTCCAGCATGCAGTGTCACCTGGCCCTGCAGGAGCTTACCAAACCCTGGCTGAGCAGGTAAATGCTCTGTCCTGCCTGGAGCTCAGGATGCAGCCATTAAGTATCAACAAGGCCTCTATATGCTGGCTTCAGGCACGCCTGATGCTGCTTTTTCAAAAAAGATGGTCAGAGCCAAACCCAGACATGGGAACTGAAGGATACTTTGCTTTCTTAGGATAGTTGTTTCTAAGGCATTGAGGGTAAATCCTGCCTCAGATCAGGAGGACACAGGGCCTGACATTGTCCCAGACACTCCATACTTCTCATTCTACAAAAGCCAAGGAATTGAGATTCCTTGAGTCTCCATGAAGGAGACATAGGCCAAGCCTGCCCCGAAGCCCTGCCCCACATCTTCTTAATGGTGCTGTGAAGGGCTCCAGGCCATCCAGCCTGAGTTAATGCCCTAAAAAGCAACAACTGTACACAGACTCTTTGAGGAGGGTCCCCTCCCAGTGCTGTGGCACTTCCTAGGGGCATTTAGGAAACAGTACCTCTCCGTCCGATATACTTGGGTAGCTTTTTAATCTCTCATATGAAGAATGAGAGTAACAGATGAAGGCTACTCTGTCTTTTCAAACCAGTTGTGCAACTTTTGTAAAGAGACACCAGGTGCCTTAGGAAGAAGGCTGGCTCTCCAACTCTGAACTCAAGCGATCACAGCTCTATTCCTTTCCATCTATTTCTTTTGGAAGTTCTTATAATTTATGGGGAAATAATTAAAAGGGACAGAGTTTCAGGGCTAAGTAGAAAAGAAGAGAATGTGGCCAGCAAGATGGGAATAAGATTGAGCCTGGCTAGACCATAGCTCATGCCTAGCAGTAGGACTTGGAGAGTTAAGAGCTCATTGATGGTCAGGGTGAGTCTCAGAAGCAAACTCAGGTGCCACAGGTCTGGTTAGAGAACTGGCTGCCTGGCCAGCTCAGGAGACAGAAGAGCAGAGGGGCTAGACCCAGGACATCTTTGCAGTGCATCTAAGTGTGTGAAAGGAGCTATACCCACTAGAGCCATACCCAATCCAGCAAAGAACCAAAAGTTCAACCTGGGGATCTTTGGATTCAGTGACAGGCAGGATTAGAGTATCATGCTGAAAAAAATACAGGCTGTGAATAAAACTATAGTGTTAAATGGTGAGTTGACAGCATCCCTGCAGTCCTTGGCTTCCACAGAGGCAATGGCCAATACCATGCTGCCAGGTGGTAGATTGAAAAATTTTATCCTTTTAAATACTACACGGGTCTGCTGGACCATACAAAGCCCCGTGTTCAACCCTTGGCACCACAGAAAACAGAAAAACCTCTACCTTTCCCAGCTCCTCTGGCAGGAAAAAAAACAAACAAGAAATATTTAACAAAGGGGTGGGATCTACACATCCTAAATATGGTGATGAGACAGGAGGGGCAGGAGTTTGAGGCTGGCCTTAGCAATGCAGTAAACTGCAGAGTAGCCTGGCTCATAAGAGACCCTATCTCTAAAAATAATCCCCAAACAGCACATACACACAGAAATACTAAACTCAAATGTATATACATATAGCTAATGGTGTGTGTGTGTGTGTGTGTGTGTGTTTTCAAGAAGCAGTTACCGCTCACAAATACAAACTGGGAAAGAAAGAAGTCTTGGAAATTACAATATGCA